TCTACTGCAAAGGCAGTGATGACAGGCGTGATCTTGTTCATCAGAGTCGCGACGACTGCTGCTGCTTGCTTCTCTCCTTTGCTCTTGGCCCAGGAGTCGATTAGTTCAAGAAATTCCTGGGCTATGCCCAATCTTTCTTTTCTTTCTTGTTCTGCTTTTTGCATTGCATTAACAATGCCTAGCAGGCTTGGGTGGAGTTGCCCCCCTGGATTCGGGGGCGTTGTCGATGACGATGCAACGGCTGGGGCCATTGCACCAGATGGAAGTTCTTGTAAGAAGTGTTGTGGATAATATGATGTGGGATCTATGCGATGTGTTGTGTTCGATATGGCTGCTGGTATATACTGCAGGTGGTTTGTCTTTCCGATTTTATTGATTTGATTTGATTTGATTAAATTTAACGTCGTGCCTGTCTACAGCTCGTGACCTTAGTCACGTGCTGGACGGCCCAGTCCCTACAGAACTACCCGACGCTCTAGCGCGCCCTACAGCACCTAGAAACTACAAAAGAGTCCGACCTGCTGTCCGCTACTCTGCTTTCCAATTTAAATGTAGCAAATTTCCCTCTACCCGGGATTTTACTTTTTATTTACAAGTAGTTGGAGATTTTATTGTGTGTTTCTATCTAACTTTGTATGTACAATATATCACGTGAGATGGTTCACGTGAGATGTGGCGAACCACCACTACACTCATCAACATAATTAGTCATCATTTCTATGATGGTAATGATAATTTTATTAGGTCTTAGGCTCTAGCCCAGCGCCTTGTGGCACGAGACCGGTGGACTCAGTAGGAATCACACCTGGAGGCGTGACCTACTCGATCATACTATTTATACCCCTATCTAATATCACAAGAGGATTTAATTACAAAAAGCATAAAGCAATAACATGATAGGAACCAACCCAGTGTTCCTCACACTGAAGTCCCTCCACCGCCACTTAATTACTAGCGTTCTAATAACTATGGTCCTCGTATCCAGCTGAGGACGTGTGTTCAGGCAGGCAGGCTTCCGAAGCAGCCGGTTATCCTTGCAATTTCCGTGAGCTTTTCGACACAGTTGTGACCAAGAAGTTAACTCCTAAATAATTCTACCGGCATAGAATTTCTATGACTACGCATCTAGATGGCGCGCCTTCGGCGCCGAATAAAGTGGGTTAGTGTAGTTTCCAATCCACATCACATTCTAGTGTGGCGTCCTCATGATGAAATCGACGGTGGTGTGCCGCAAAGTTTCCGTGCCCGGTTCGAGCAGCTATAAGCCCATGGATTAAGTGTCGAGAAAGTCCTAGTTCAGGTGTTTTACGACGGCGCATTTGTAGTCATCATTTCTATGATAATACATGAAGGATCATTAAGTTATTATGTAATTCGACAGTAAGCCTCCTACTCGAGCGATATCGGTGAACAAGCAAGGCTAGACTGTCTTATCTTACCACAGTAATAACCATAGCCAAAGTACTGGCCTTTGCCGAGCTTGCCTTTGTTAACATTTTTATCTAGATGTCGACCCGTACAAACATACCGTATATTAGTAACTCATACTGATACTCAGGATTGCGATGGATAGCAGAGATTGATGGTGTTTATGGCAGTGCGTGGTTTGGTAATAGTGGACACGTATATGACACATATATATCGCGCACTTGAATCCTTTAATATGATGATGCTTCCGACTACATTTACAATGCCTATACCTACTCTGGGCTAATCACTTCTTTCTTTGTTGATCTTATCTTCTAATTAATGTCTTTTCGCCCTTTTATCTTTAATGATAGGTCGTGATATTCTCCGTCTTGATAGCCATCATCAAGCTCAGAGTTATGGACAAATTAAATATTTAACAGCCTTTATGGATATTTGGTAGATGAGCCGAGGGTTTTACCCTGCATCTCTAGGAGGAATTAGGTAAGTATCGGTTAGTAGTAGTTCTTTTGATAGTTCTAGTCTGAGGGAAACTTGGCTTCCTCTAAGCGCCGAGTCTCGTGAATGACATAAAAAAATATTCCCGTGAGCGGAATAGTTTGTTGCATGCACAGAATTGCTCGCGTAGTTGCAATTATTATTATAGGCTGATACTTGCCTTGAATAGAATAGAATAGAATTAAATTTAAGTCCCTACTGAGTCTAAACATTACTTGCCTTGAAGCTATGCGGGCGAAAGAGGAAATACCTCTCTTAGATGGCCAATTGATTGTGCTTAATAGAGGCTTTAATGCAAGTAAAGCTCGCTTCTATCTATAAGCTGTGTGATCAGAGAGTCAATGGTGGGATAATTTTGGTAAAACACAAAGTAATACGAGTTGGGTGCTGTCATGAATTCGGTGAATAAGACAAATGAAATGGTATCTCGAAGTATATATATGTGGTTGTCTCTTCCTCTCCTCTCTCTATCTCGTCTCATTCTCTACTCCAAACGCCTCGCTGATTAGCTAATTCAGATCCCTGTTAGAGTCCTAACGACATGTTAAACACCGCAAGTATGTAGAACAATTCATAAAGCCCGAATATGAACCTTTTCTCGACAGGAAATGTAGTTGAGAGCAATAGTTGGCTTCAGTGACTCCTATATCTCATATAATCTAGCCTGGCGAGGAAGGGAAAACGACGCTGAGGCTGAAGGTCTGGACACGAGCTGGCGCTCAGCAATAGAATGCCTCGAGTCGAAATTTTAGGACAAGTCGAACTGCTTGCGGCTCTATTTTTTTGACACGTTTCGCTTTGAGAGAGTGTGAGAGTTTGGAATTCGGGAGCCTCCGCTCTGAATGCCGAAACTAGAAGAAAAAAACGATAACTAAATGTATCGAAAAAGCGACGGATAGGCTTGGTAGATCACTTGTGACTTTGCCGTGTGTTTAGGAAGAGTGTTGGACATTCCTGAGTCCGGGAAGCTCGAAGTGAGTTGGCGATAGGCGACACAGAGTAGAAGAGCAAAAGAGACTATCGCATGAGCTTTTTACCTGGAGTCAAGCTGTTTAAGCTTGAAGCTCGTGTGAAGCCTTGACTCGTGAAAATCTGCCAGCATTTGCTGTCTCTCTATCTCTGGGGCTTCTTGGCTCAAGTAGCTGGACGATTGAAGGCTACAAGAGTAGCTCCATGGCAGAGATCGGTTCGTTTGGCGGAGAGCTGTGGGTTAGGGTTTCTTCAGGAGCAATCGGGCTTGTGAGGAGATAAGGGGCCAATTGCTAGAAAAGCTGAAAGAAGTAGCTCAGGGCCAGTTTCGGTGTGAGCGCTGGCGTCGCACAAGGCTGGACGAGTTCGGATCAGCTGGCTGGAGGCGGGAGCGCTAGCTTCTCGAAGAAGGAAGAGTGCGAGAAGCAGCTTCGGCGTCTAAGCTTCTATCATGATCCATTCCCGATGGTACGACATTTAACCGCAGTCAATAGGCCTAACCACTTGTCCTGTCATTTGGACGCAATGGCAGCACACAACTGCAAATCCGAGTAGGCTCTACCTACTCACGTTGGGCCTTGTGAAGCAGGTCACTAGCCTCGGACCTGCGATGCGCGTGCGTGTGCAGCGGAAGGGGAACTGTGGCTAGCCTACCGCGCGCATGGTATTTCCGGTAACCCAATCGCAGCGCCTGTCAAGTTCACAGCGTCAACAGTGAGCATCAACATGCACTATTTTTCCATCATCATCATCATGCCAAGACGGGAGTGTTATGAAGTATGGGCCGCGGGTATGAGAGTGAGGGCATGCGAGGCGCAAACCGTCTGGACAGTCGTGTGTATAGATTGAGCCTGTAATTCAGACGGAGCCGACCCTTGGCGGGGAGCACGTGCTCTCATCTAGCGAAATTGGCATGGCGCGTGCTATTTTAAGGCGAATGCTGGCCAGGTCATGGCGCTGCCGCACTCGGACCATTCACTGAAAAGTCCGAGAGCTGTGGAATGACCCGCATGACAGCCAAGGATGCAAAGAGGAATAGTGCGGAGCCATCATCATTCTCTGCTATCCGCCTTTCCACGGCCGTATGCATAACACCTCACAGGCTTAGGATGAAACTACTCGTGTCGAAGATGGCTAATCCAAACCATTGTAGATGAAAATTTTATCAACGTCCAGGGGGCGTGGCCCGGCTTTCCCCATTCAGCCCCGGGCCATCATGATGGGGCTCATTGTAAGAATACCATGGCTGCGAATGCCGGTAATGCAAGTGAGGCTGGATGAAAGGACGGCAACAGTAGCAGTAGCAGTAGCAGTAGCAGTAGCAGCACATCTACAACTACCCTTCGCTCGCGCCACTTTGGCCCTACAACCAGACCTTATCTATCGGCGACACTGCGTTTGCCAGGACATCTATTTACCCTTTCAACACGCTCTCACGTTGCCCAAGTGATTGAGGTCTGAAGGAAAGTATGAAATTAATAGACATGGACTAAGCCTATCCCTGTTACGCGTTGGTTACGGGCCACTGATCTGATCTCTGGCTCGCGGACACACGAATGTGAAAGGAAGAGGAAAAGTCTGGTGCTGAGGAGAGGATTTCGTCTGGTCGTGACCATGAGCCATCGAGAGAAGGGCTGGTTAAGGTGATCTACAATGAACTTTAATTATTGAAATGAGGACAGTCCACGGTAGCGATGCCAGTGAATCATTTCTGCGCACAAGGGGGGGGGGAGGAGACGAGCTTGGCTGATCAATTTCACGAGAAATCTATAATCCGCCCCTCAAGCAGGAGGGACATGAGGAGCAATCTGATCACAACACTCCGTCCACTCACCCGTCTGATCCATCATCATCTTCTTCCGCGACCCTACCCATGTCCGGTTGTTACAAGCATTGCGCACCCTAATGTCACATTCCATGCGAAGAACTCTCCTCCACCGCGCTATTTCTCTCCGCGAGTATATCAGTAACCTTCTACCCAGCCATTCAATTGCCCTTGGAGCTACACGTCCAGATATTGTCATTTCCGCCTCTTCCTCGTAATGCTGTATTAAAAGTTCTGCTGAAGCTACCACTTTGTAAACGCCCTCATCCCTTGACTCCAGATGCCGCATTCCGTTCGAAAGTACTTCAAAAAATCCTGCTCGAATTCCGTGGCAAACTCCCGATGGAATAGCGACTCTCGCAATTCAGAAACGCCTTCTCCCCAGGCCACACACCTCGGACTTCTTAGCTCTCACCAGCACGCCGTAAATCGTCTATTCTGTACATCAGACTATGACCATGTATCGCCCATTACCTCAATTTGCTCCCGTTCGTCCACCGACACCTACGCCGACTCTGATGCGAATCATGAAGAGACAGGAAATCCTCAAACCTCCAAGTTCCTCGAACCAGCTTCGTTTCGATTATGCCACAAGCTTCCAAGGCCGAATCTACGCCCGAGCAGCCCCTCGGACTTTGCAGAGTACTTTCCCTCAACTCGAATCATGTCAATATGCCACGATGACACCTCAGGTGACAGTATGACCAACATACGTGTTGATACGGATGACCTGGAGCACCAAGGCGCCATCCAACTCTTTCACCTACGAATTCAGGATATTGAAAACCGAAAATTTTCCTTTCGTCGATATGAACGCTACTCGGGCCGAGAGATTTGCAAGACGTCTCAGAAGTGCCTTCCACCCGGCCCAGTGAAACGAGCAGTATTACCTCGTTCTGTTTCCCTGGCACTGGCAAACATGCGACTTACTTCCGCTTCCTTTTCCTCCCAAACATCAACAACCCGCCCCCATTTCAATCCGGAGCATGACGCCCAGCCCTTGGACAGTGATCGTGGACAAGATCCCAGTGACCTGGATAGTCTTTCTTCCGAAGTGGAAGATAAGCAAGCCCTTGTTCTACCTGACGTTATCCGGCTGGACTTTTCAAACTACGCCCAGGTGGAGATAAAGTGCCGGCCCGTTAAGTATGGGAGACGGTATGGATTTGAATACTGGGGCCAGGAGTATGCGTGGAAGCGAATCGGCAGGCCAGATGCCTTGGATGAGAATATTTTTTACCACTTGTTTAGATATAGCGATTCAAAAATAATTGCCCATATTCTGCCGCAAGTCCGGAGCGATCGAGAGCGGTCCAAGGATCGTGAAATGGGTGATTGGGTGCCTCCCTGCCAATTATGGATTAATGATGCCGCCGTCGTGCAGGGAGCAGGGGATGTCGCTGAGTAAGCAAAGCCCCGCCCTAGTGCAGCGATTAATAGAATTGACTTTAGCGTAGCGTTATCGTTGCCACTGGTCTGGTAGCATTGGTCGACGACAGCATTAAGAGCTACTCCCTCGAAGCATCCGATCACGAGCGTAAATCTTCACGACATCGACGGCGCCTCGGCAATCTGCGCAAACGGTCACCTGCATTCCGGAGCTCCGGGAGTAGAAGAGGTATATGCTTAGGAGGGAAGAAATCTGAGGAGAGCCACACATGGGAGGCTCAACGTGGGTAACCGAAATAATAAGCTGAATGAGAGGCTCAGAAATGGTGGCAAGTTCTTACCACGCGGCTTGCGCGTCACTAGATCAACGGAACAGTCGCTCGGCTGGTGGCTCCGCGGATGCACCTGACTCTACAAAGAGTCGAAAATTTATCAATTATGGCCTCACGAGCTTGCGATGCTACATTGGGGGGGTCCGATAAATCTGGACACGTTAATGGACAGGAAGAACTAGATTATGATTGAAATGAAGGCATGATGGATCTCACGAATCCTTGGGGCAAAAAACAACCTAATATACAGTTGATGACGCAGTCAATTTTAATAGTATAATACATACCTTTTCTCTATAGAAATTAATGAAGCATTCTTGATGCGCCATTCATCGTTTCACCCCCCTTCCAGCAGCGATACGCCTTAACAGCGTCGCTCCTAGACACGAAGTCGTGAGGATTCAGGCCGGAGGTGTAAAGTTGCCTTTACACAAAACAGGTCGCGCTGCCGAAACCAAGCTGAAAACGATCTGCTCCACTGCATCGCTCTCTCCACCCGATGCGAGGTAATTAATAAATAAATAATCCTATTATCCTGATTGGCGCCTTGAGGCCCATGCAGGTTTTTATCGGAAGATATGTACTTTAAGTAGGATGACTCAATTTGACATTTAGAACACCCACACTCAGATTTCATTTGTAGATACCGCTCGAGGTTTACCCTAGCGGCGTATAGCCTCTTCCGTGCATAACCACTGCGGGGAAAAGCGTGAAAGCATATGGTTTTCCGAGTGTGTTTTCATCACCCCACAAGTACGATATCACCGCGAGAGAGTGTGATGTCTGCGCTTTACTGAATTTGAACTAGCTTTCTCCTGCCTCAAATGGGGTAGGTGTTGTAGCTACCCAGAATCTACTTCGGACAACGGCCCGAATGGTGTACCACTGCACTATCCAACCATTGATGCGAGGTAACAATAGCGTATTCTCACCATAATGCAGGACCAAAATAGCCGGCGAATTTCCGCCAGAACCCTTCAATCCTTTGACTGATCCGGTTGTGCGCGGGTGCAAGGACAGAGGCAACATTGCTCGAGGCGGGGGTCCACTGAGTAGGTCACATGCGGGGTTGAGGCTACCCACGTGCCCAGCTAGCTTTCGGTTTCTAGAAGTACCTTCGATTGTTCCAGCTCGGCCCAAGACTTGCGGCACGCCTAGCTTTTCTTTGTCCGCAGGCCAAGCATGCCGCTACCGCCATGCTTCATTCTTGTAAATGAAACGTCCCTCATAGGTCCTCACTCCATCACAAAGCTGGGCGCACCTCTCGCTTCTCGCTGTCTCCACTCTCACACCAGCGAAGTAAAGTCATGTATGGTGGTATGGCAGCCAGGAAACCCGCCGCTGTGTACAGAGATGCTGTGATTCGGAAATGTGGACTCGATCTGGGGACATGGTTTCCCTTCGAGCCTGCCCCTAATTTCTTTCCACGCTCTCGCATCGAAATTCATTCGATGTAAGGTGAGAGTGCGAGAAATTCGATGACTGGGAAAGCGTACTGTGGAGCAGGCTAGCCCATCTACTGTTTGCCAATCGGGGGACTAGAGACTCTATGAAGCCGTGGCTTAATGATGCCCTCCAAACCATTTTGTGCCCCCGACCTTGAAATATCGGGTTCTTCGCAAAGCTGTGTCCCCAGAATACCTGCTGGGTCAGGTGGGTCCTGGTAACATGGGCCATGCATAGTTTATGGGTGCCTTGATCCACACCTCAGCCTATGTGGCACGCGTGTGCGACATTACATTGTACCCTCCCAACCTCACTATGAGGTTACCTAATCTGCGGAGAACGAAGGCTCAATGTCTGTCAGTAGTATCATTTACGAATCTGTGAACCGAGATTCTGTCAAGACAAAGAGTGTGTTGCCGATAGCGGTCAGGAGGAGTGGCGCTGACAAGTTTTTGGCCGAAGATCCGACCTGCAGAAATTTCACGACTCCGCAACCCAACGAATTCAATTATTACACCCTAGATTTGAACCGCTGACAGGTAGAAACCTGTCTGATTTTCGAGTTAAAACGACTGACATCTTTACATTCTCTAGCTTAACTGGAAGATGTTTCCCAGCTAGACTCATCTCGCCACCTTACAAAGCTATCCACGATCCATAGGTTATACTAGCTAAGATTCAAGCGGAAATACGTATCTCCGCAATTCTGCCCGCTGTCAGGTTATAGTTAAAGAACCGGTCCTGAATACCTCTATATCTCGGCTCAAGGCACCAGCAACTCGATCTACGACGAATCGCCACCGACTAAATACGTACGAAATTTCGCCGGCACATCAAGCCGGAGGGATGGGAAGTCAACGAATTTTGTGAGATGGTGATTTCTACAGAAGAATTGAGGATAATCACTAGTGGAGTAAGACAAGGGAAGAAAAACGGAGGTGTCGATTAGCAAATAGATGGGATGAGGAGAAACTGGGGTGAGGCATGATTGGAAATGAACAAAAAGGAACAATTACAGATTAGGATATTGTCAGGCCTCAAACGCGTAAAGCTTGAGTCTGAGTAGGAAATTGCGTTTAGGCGTGTCAAAGTCGGATTGTCTGGGCGGTTAGACCTTTCATGTTCAGCACATGGGTCAAGTCTGAGGTAATCTAGTCATCTAGGTTGAACGAGGCTTACGTACTTAAGGATAGTTAAACTGATCCAGCCCGGCCCCACTCGTTCTCGAGCTCCCATAGGAATGTGGAGGGTGCCAATTGCCCAGCACGTTTATCTGCAAACAATCAAAGTTATTTGACCCACAGCTACCCCCTAGATACCTGTCGAACCAGCTCCCTGTAACCCTTGAGAAAAGCAATATTCATCATTTCTACTTTCGGCTGATGCCCATTTCATCAATGCAGGGTGCATGGGATACTTGTAAATTAGGCCGACGACGCGTCGTCGACAACGGAGTTGAGGAGCGCGAGGCATGCACCACGTCGGTAAACACAGTCCGCACATCGTCACACCGCCATATGGAAGAGACCAGTTAGGAAAGAGGCCGCCGTGCCATTTATTGGTGCTTAGATGCCGAGCTCAGTGGGGTTTTGTTCATTTTCATTATCGTTAGATGCTCCATCTGAGCAGGAGACGGATGTTTGAATGGCGCATGACGGCGACAGCTCGAACAGAATCATTCGCTGATTAGCACTCTGTTCCTTTGATTTCTACAATTTTCTTCTCGTGCCATACATGAGCTACACAGCCAACCGGCATGAAAAATCATCGAAAAAATCAAGTTCATCAAATTTAATTTGAACCCTCATGTAATGGATCTCGTTTGCCAACATCACTATTTGATTAAGCGGGGACTTGTACTACAGCCCTAATTTAGCTTGTCTGACAGAGGGAATGGCGAGAGAAGCCTTGGCTGGCCACGTCATACTACAACAGCAACGTTGGTTTCATGATGTGGAGAAAGGGCCTCTGGGATTCGAGGTAGCCGCCATTCTGTCCCAAGTGGAGCAAGTGTTCATCCCACTAAGACTTTAATTTGAAGAGAGGACCAGACGGCTCACCGCTGGACCATCCGACCCGCCACCTTTGTTGTAGTGACGAGTAGTCGTCCTCATGTCGTCTCTTAGCTCGTCTCTGCAGCAATTTGGTGAAGTATTGTCCATTGCAGTTGTCCGTGCCATGCAGAGCTGCGCCAAATCGATCTCCGATGTGAAATCCCCAACCTCCTTCCAGTCTAGCAGTTGAGAGCGATCACTTCTTCGCTTTTCCCCCATCGGAAACATCCGTGTGCAGATACAGGCCGATAGTTTTTAACTCTGCACGCCCCTGACCGTCCCAGCTGGGTAGCACGTCGAGGCGATCATGTCGGTTTTATTTATTTACTAACGTGCTAGGCAAAGTGACACCCATCACATTCAAACTGGATCATAAGCACGAGTAGGGTCGGCTGGATTTAGTCATCTAACCTAAAATTACAATTTATTCCTCATCCCACATTGTTGTCCGGACCTCCTTAGACTTCAACTTTGTGTTGGGTATGACAGCTCCGAACGATCAGAGAACCCGAACTTAGCCCGCCGAAGTGCAAATTCATCATAGTCGCCACGCACCCGAGCCCTTGATAACTTCCGATCCGACCCGGCATGTCCTCATCCTGTACAGGTGTTGTCTTTTATATTTGGGGGTTCCTCTTATTTATCCACCATTTGAGTGTCTCTTGAACCTTCCTGCCAATCTCGGCATCTCAGAAATTCCTAGAACTGGCCATAAATTCGGCCTTGCCCCGTCGCTGCCATACCCTTAGCCGTGGAGGCCAAATATGCATCATAGAGCTCAAGATCGAGGCACTGATGCCTCAGCTTTTGTCAAATGCTCTACTTGATATATCGGTGAAATTTGGCACGTATTTTTTCATTGGCGATTTGCTGCAGGTCGGATTGTATACGCCCTCGACCGAGATACAGTCATATGTAGGGTGAGTGATTTGACCGTGACTTAATAGCGCGCAGGAGTACGGAGATACGTACTTCCACTTGTATCTTAGCTAGCAAAACCTATGGACTATAGATAGCTTCCGAAGGCGGCGAGATGACTTAAGCTGTGCAAGATCTTCTTGGAAAATTCGAAAGGGTAGAGATTGTCATTTATTGTATTACGAACATGAGACAGGGTTGATTCTGTCTGCGGTTCGTGCTTACAATGTAGATGATTGATTTCGTTGGGATATGCGGTTATGAAATCTCTGCAGCTCGGGTTCCTGACCAAAACTTGCAAACACCGCTCCTCGCGACTGCCGTGTTGAAAGAAAATCTCAAATCCGGCCCTCTTCGTGATTGGGTGCCAGCTTAGAGACAGTATATCGCTTACATGTTCGATGAGTGCATCACTGATAGATTTTCAGCCTTGATTCTTCAGGAAATATGACGTATTCTGATTGTCGCCGATGATACTCGGACCATCTAGGGAATTTGCTAGGCCCAAAGCGTAGGGGCAGGTTGACCAAGGGGTAGTTAC